CTGCTGGCCACGAGCGAGGTAGACTCGGATGCTTGTCCTGCTCAGGAAGCCGCGAGAGGGTGGGCTCCGCCAGCACGTGGGGAAACCCCAACAAGGAGCACCCAGAGAGTGGACACGGTACCTCCAGCCCGAGGAGATCCCGGGAGGACAGTTGTGGAGAGCAGAGGGGCAGGGGGGAGTTCAGCAGAACTGAGAGCATCCCAGAGGGCTTGCTACAGGGTCAGGGAGAGAATTGCTGGTGGCTCCAAGGAAAATGAAGCAAGCAAAGGCAGTGATTTCCTCTAGGAAAATGACAGTCTTGTACAAGAGAGTAAGTGTAATCCCTACACGGAGTACTTTGAGCAAAACACTTGGTTAAACTCCCAAGTAAGCCCAAACTCCTGCTGTGGCTTCACTAGGAGGGAAGCTTGTGTGAGCGAACTTGGCCGATCCTTGTCTTCCTCTGTTGAGAATCAGTAGACCGTGGAAACTGTAGATTGTGAACGAACTATCTAAGCACGTTAGAAATTTAAGGGTAAGAGAAGATCACCCGAGGGTTTGCTCTGAGTGGGATTGTGGGTGGGGAAGAGAACTGGATTTTCTGTGACCCGTCTTCTAACACTCTGTGAGATTTTAAACAAGGTAAATGTTAACGGTGCAAATAAAAGAATGCCGCAGGGTTGCAGCCCCAGGATCCTGTTGGTTTGGGGCCCAGCTCCCATGGGTTCTGACCCTGGAGTGCTGGTTCCTTCTGTCCCCAGAGTGCTGGTGGGCATTTTGGTGGGCTCCACCCCCTGTGTTGTAACAGGCGGGCCCTTGATTTCTGGGGAGTTCACCCAGAATGCCAGTGGCTTCCGAGGCGTCTGGACCCAGAGGCCCAGCGTCAGAAGGCACCGCGGCCGCCCATGGAAGCAGCAATTTGGCTGGAGTCAGCAGAAGTGCTTCTGGAAAGGCTCGCATCCAGTTGACTTGCAAGTGGAGCTGTTGGGGAGCGTGTGGACTGTGTTTCTCCCCAAGAGGCCGCGCTGCCCGCCAGCCCTCCCGGTCTGTGGTTGCAAAGCCCGGCCCTCCTCTGCCTCACCTTGGACTTGCTGGCGGGCAGGCTGGCTCCTGCTGCAGGCGCCCCCATGCCTGCCTCCCCTGCTGGCCTCAGACTGCAGTGGGATGGTCAGGGCTGCTGAGGTCCCTCTTCACCCCTGCCTGCTCTTGTGCAGCTTAGCCCAGTGGCCGCAGGAGTGCAGGGGCTTCTGGCCTGGATCCAGCCCCTGCAGCACCTCCCCACCACCACTTCCCTGCAGGCTACACGCAGGCTTCACACGGGGCTGGCTTCTCTGCCCTCATGTCTACTGGGCGTGCTCAGAAGCCCTGGGGCTGGGGGGGGGGCAGGTGGGGGCTTACAGACTTGGGTCCCCACTCCAGAGGAGCACTCCCCAGCTCGCTGACCTCAGGCTAGTAGCCCAAACTCTGAGCCTCCGTGGCCTTATTGGAACAGGAAGTGTTCCCAAACCCTCCTCCTGACTTGTGCAAGAGCTGCACCTCCCCCGCCCCCCATGTCACCTGTTGCCCAGGATGTGGCTCTGACAGGAGGGGCCCGACAGCTTGTGTCCCTCGTTGGGATGAGGGTGGCCTGGGTTGGCTGGAGGCTGTGCTGTGTCCTTGGTGTGAGTGGTCCTGTTGTGGCATTAGGAGCTCTGAGAGATGCTCATTTGTATTGAGCCTCTTTGGCTCAGAGCGGCTCACTTCGTGGCCCTACCCCCAGTAGCCCTGTGAGGAAGGGGGGAGCATTGCCACATTTTCGTGGGTTGGGGGACGACTCCCAGGGCCAACTCTCAGCACAGGCCCGTTGAATGAATAAAGGGGTAGGTGGGGGGGTACCCCTTGAGTGGCCACCACCAGACCCCAAGTGAGGACTCTGCCCTAATTCCCATGTAGGAGACACACGGCTCCACTGAGTGGGGGTGTCCGCAGCTGGTCAGGGAAGGTCTCCAACAGGGGAGAGGCGCCCTGGGTGTGGACGATGTGGGGATGGTGCTCACAGACGCAAGCGTGCGAGGTTAGTCCCGTTTCCCAGGTGGGCGGGGGAGACTGCAGCCTCGTGCAGTCAGGCCTGTGTACTTACTGAGCGTCTGCTCTGCGTCGGGAGCCATGTGAGGAGTGTGATGTGAGTGGGGTCAGCAGAGCAACAGCCCCCGAAGATGTCCATGTCCTAATGCACGGACCTGTGAGTATTTCACCTTTTGTGGTGAGGAGGGTGGAGGTTGCCAGTCAGCGGCCCCTCAGGTGGGAGGTTATGCTGGACTCTGGGGGCTGAGTGTGCTCACAGGGGGTTCCTGACCGCGGAGGAAGGGGGCAGGGTGACACGGTGTGGCTGCAGCTGGAAAAGCAAGAGGAGGACTTTTCCCCCTGGAGCCTCCAGAGGGGAGTGGTCATGCCCACACCCTGATTTGAGCCCAGCGTGGCCTGTGTGGGCCTCTGACCTCCAGAGCTGTGGACAGAAGCCACGGCAGCCATAAGAACTGATACGTAACTAGGACGCGTCCTCCGTCCTCCCGAGCCCCCCACTCACGCCCAGAGGCACAGGGTGCCGCGCGCTGTGGGAGGGCTACAGATGGGACGGGGTGTCTGGGAAGGCTTCTGGGAGCGGCGGCTCAAAGATCAGGTTGGTCAGGCAGGAGGGCGGCCCATTGAAGGCTTGGGCCACGGGAGTGCTGAGTTCTGAGGGCGATGGAAGATCTGGCCACAGCCCAGAGCACCAGAGGGGCCCAGAGCCGCCGGGACACGGCAGGTGGAGGGGTCACCGCAGCCGTGGAGGGGCCAGCTGGGCTCATGCTGACATCTGGAGCATCGCCAGGGTGGTGGCAGTGGACGTGCAGAGGAGAGGCCAGTGAGGACGGGCTGGGGCGCAGCCGGCTCCTGGGGCAGACCCTTGTGGATGGAGCAGCTTGTGTTTGGTCTTTGGTGACGGTGACTGGTCACTGTTGTCATCATCTTTTTTAGCTGGGTTTTTCCTGTGATCATTCTGTCCCATCTTGCCAGCCGGCTTCTCGCCCTGGAGAGGCCGGGGGCCGCTCGCTGCCCTTGTCCCCTGTGCCCCGTTGGCCGCCCCGGTGCCGTGGTATGTGTCGCGGGCCCTCCTGGAGCTTATGCCGAAGGCTGGGCAAGGCCGGGCCGAGTTGCTTGGGCAGGAAGTGGACACGGGGACAGGCTGGTAGGGAGGCAGGTGGAGAGCTTCCTTGGGCTCTAAGGAGGCTGGTCTCCCAGCAGAGATAACTTAAGGCAAGGAGGGGACTTGTGGAATTGATATGTCACTGTCGATGTAAGATGATGCTAATGGGCAGAGCGTCTGTCCGGGTCACTGCCTGTGGGAGCTGCAGGGCTGGGGGCAGGGAGCACTAAACATAGGTCCTGAAGATGTCACCGGGAGAGGCCTGTTTTGGGAACTCTGCCCACAGTCTGACTTCGGAGGGCATGGACTCCCCAGTGCAGGTGCCCTGGGCCGTTGGGTGAACGGACCTCACCAGAAGGAGTAGGGTGGAAGCCACATGCTGGCCATGTGACCTGGGGCACAATTTGGCCTCAGACTCCTCATCTGTAAATGGGGGTGATGGTCCCCACCTTTCGGGCTGGTGGGAGGATCCTGTGGCTACTAGGTAAAGTTATTTCTGTTTGAATTAAAAAAGCCACCACGCTATTTTCTTCAGTGCTTTGCTCCAAAGCTGTCTCCTCCAAGAAGTCTTCCTCGAACAAGGTATTCTCTTCTGATTACTCAGCACCCAAGGTTTGCTTGTCCATTCAGAAGATAGGAATTGAGCACAGCCATGTGCTGGCTCTCCCAGTACAACAAAGAACCAGGCCCATGTCTTTACAGCGAGAGGGTGGGAGCCCCTGAAGGAACATGCAGGCTGTTCCCGGCCTGTTGGTGCGGTGTGGGGGAGCGGGGAGTGTGTGAGTGTCAGATGTGGCCCATCAGGTAGTCCTCACACCTGAAGGGCCCGCCAGAGGGAGGAAGGGGCTCCAGGCAGGTGCCGGCAGATGCAGATGGTGGGGATGAGTCTGGCACACTCCAACCTGCAGGGAGGCCAGTAGGAGCTCAGTAGATGGAGAGAGAGTCCGTCAGAGGTGCCAGTGGCGGAGCACAGAGGGCCGCAGACAGGCCTGCAGGCCATGGGGAAGACTTTACTCTGAGGAGAGGTGAGGCCGCTGGAGGGTCTCTGTGGATGGAGCAATGCCATCTAACATTCAGGTTGGAATGGCCGGTCAGACTGACGGGTTGGGTGAGCTGAGCCGAAGCAGAGAGCTTTGGGGGCTCTCGCAGTGCTGCCCAGGATGGAAGGGCCAGCTCTTGGCTTACCTTGACGGCAGATCCAGAGGTTGCTGAGTGTAGGCCCGAACGGACATGGGTAGGCTGGTCGTTGGTTGTGGGGACAGGCCTGGTCCCTGTGAGGCGTTGGGCATTGTGCGTTCCTGGGTGCACGGACAGTTTGGGGGGGAAGTGTGGAGCTGGCTTTGGTGGGGGGATGGCATGAGGCCCTCTAGGGAGTACAAGCAGTCAGGAAGCAGGGGTCTGAGGCAGTGTTTGGGGCAGTCAGTGTTTTTAGGGTGGGAGGATGAGAACGAGTGATAGACCAATACCCCCGGAGTAGAAGGACCAAAGTCTTGAGGAGGAGGCACCGGCCTGCCATGTCTGTTTCTTCTGAGAGGTCAGGTGGGGTGGTGATGGCAGCCCTGGGCTCATTGGTGGTGACCTGGAGCTGAAATCCTGAGCAGAGTGGGACCCGCACACAGGGGCCAGAAGAGGCTCCAGGAGCCACCTTTCCCCCAGGGGTTACACTCTTGGTTGGGTGTCCTGCCTGTCCCTGGGGTGTCCTGCTCACCAGGGCTCTGCACTTGGTGGCAGGCCAGGTGTGGGACAGGCCTGTGGGTCTTCAGACCTGATCTTGGGCAGCAGGTGCTACCTGGAGAATGGGGCTGGCCCTCAGGCTTCCTCTGAGAGCCGCCCCCCGGGACTTCTCTCCCTCCAGGCACGAGCCTGCTGCAGGAGGTAGTCTACTTGGTGAGCCAGGGGGCCGACCCTGATGAGATCGGCCTGATGAACATTGACGAGCAGCTTCCGGTCTTGGAGTACCCGCAGCCGGGCCTGGACATCATCAAGGTGCTTCTCTGGGCCAGCGGCACCCAGCCCCTAGGATTCCCTGGGGACCCGGAGTGACAGTTGCTCCTGAGGGGTTCGGGGAGCCCATGGGTGGAGGGAGAGCAGAGAGCTCCCAGTCCCCCTAGACAGTCTTGTCTGGCCTGGAGGGTGGCCGGATCTCGGGTGAGAAATTTCTCGGCAGAGTGCAGGTCCTGACCATTAGACCCCAAGGCAAATGAGCAGCTGTGTGTCCTCTGAACGCCTCTCCCTCTGACTCTCCGCAGGAGCTGACGTCTCCCCGCCTCATCAAAAGCCACCTCCCTTACCGCTTCCTGCCCTCTGATCTCCACAATGGCGATTCTAAGGTAACCGCCCTCCCCCCCTCTGCCCCCCCCCCCCCCCCCCCCCCCCCCCCGCCCCGGCAGAGATTCCAACAAGCAGAGCTGGTCCAGCGGCCCTCAGGGCCACAGTCTGGAGTTCTAGAGGCCTGGGTGTGCAGAAACCCGGTAGAGGCCATCTCTGAGCTTGCACCCTAGCGTTTTGTCCACGTTTCTAATTTGGGTTTTTCCTTACAGTCGGACTTAGGCTTGACTGGCCTGGGTCCGGTTTCTGCTCCTGTGTCAGGCCGAGGACCCACCACTGCTTTCATGGTCTCTGATCTTTCTCATTTTCTTAGCGTGTTCAGTTGACAAGGCCTCTGATTCTCACAGCCAGTGTCAGGCCCGGCCTGTTTCTGTCTTCCACTCGTTTTAAAGTCATGATGCAGAACAGAAGCATAAACGCGCAGGTGTCATCCCACCAGATGCTGTTACACGGAGGAGAATGCACCTCTGCTGGCGCGGAGGCCGCGCACGTCTGGGGCTGACCTCGGGGCTGGAGAGGGGGTGGCATTTACAGTGGGTCAGAGGGGCAGTGACCGAGCCTCCCTCCCTCCCGCCGCAGGTCATATACATGGCGCGGAACCCCAAGGACCTGGTGGTGTCCTACTACCAGTTCCACCGTTCCCTGCGGACCATGAGCTACCGAGGCACTTTCCAGGAGTTCTGCCGGAGGTTCATGAACGACAAGCGTAAGTGTCTCAGCCTACGCGGGCGTTAGGACAGGGCTGGCTTGTTCACTGAACCCCTGCGTGCCTTGTGCTTTGCCCACATTGCCCCCAGTTCCTTTGATGAGCACGTGGGTGGGGCCTGCTGTCCTGCTGACAGGCGGAGAAGTGGGGCTCAGGGGCGACTGGAAGCTTGTCAGGGGGCGTGGCAGGGGTGTGGCAGAGTCGCATCCAACTCAGAAGCCCTTGTCTCTCCCCCACATCGTTGGGGTTCTGAGGAGGTCCCCTGTTCAAAGCATTCCTCTTCCTGCCTGGATTCTGAATAGTAAAAAGGGAGACCGGGAGAGTTCTGCTGTTGGTGACAGAGGCCCGAGTGGGGGCTGTGGCCTCATGTGAGAGCCCCATGGCCTTGAGCTGCACTTGAGGATCCGGCCGGAGACATGGCCTCCAGCCCCGGGCTGTGTGACGGGTGAGGGGCGAGGCAGGGCTCTGCAGGAGCTCGTTCCCAGGGGAGAAGGCGAAGGAGGGGCCCTCCCCAATCTCCCCTCCCCAGGGCAGGAGCAGACCGGGTCACCCCACCCCTGCACAGCGACCTGCCCAAGGTGGCTCCCCGGTCGCCGTCCATGGCTTCTCTGGCACCCTTCCGGGACCGCCGGCGGGAGTTCAGTGAGGGTTTGCACCGCAAGGCTTGAGATGGGCCACATCAGTACTTGGATTAAATCCGGACCCAGACGATTTATTTCCCAACTCAAGTCCTAGCGTTCAGCCCCGCCGTCCACTTGTGTGACCCAGTTGGAGGTTCTGCAGTGAGATTGTGTGGCAAGACCAGGGGAGAGATGGGAATATAGTGCCCCAGATGAATGCAGACCAGTGGGACTGGAGCTGCCTCCCAAGCCTCACGGAAGGCCGGGCCCTTATGGTGCTGCTCTGGAGCCCCCGGGGCCCTCCGTGCCCGAGCCACTCTGAATCGGCTTCAGCGGTGATGGGGGGAGGGTCCGGGGGAGGAGGCCACAGCCCCTGCCCTCAAAGCCCTGGAGCCTTCGAAGACCCTCTGTCCAGCCTCCCTGTCCCCCCAGCCTACCTGCCACCTGGCTCAGGCCCTTTCAGGTCTGCCAGGCATTTGGAGTAAGCCATTGGTGTGGTTTTCAAAACCATATTATTAAGTCCCAACATGTTCTCCTGCCTCTAGAGAAGCAGCTACCAGCAGGGGGACGGTGCCCCGTAAAGAGCAGGTGTCCGCCAAGTTCAAACTGCCACCTGGCGTTGGTCTTAAATTAGCTTCCTGCTCAGGCTAGAGGAATTAAGTTATCCTAATACAGGTCTCTCCGTGTTTTAAAGGTCACAGCCCAACCCTTGAAGTTCAAGGCCACACGTACTTGCTGTGATTCCACCAAAGCCTCTCGACATGTGTACTTAGCTCCCCCATGTTCTCTCTATTCTCCCAGTGTTCGCGGCCGTGCACCACAGCTTGGGCCCTCGGAGGCTCGTGTCCTCTCCTCATCTGAGCTGTAGAACGAGCAGTGGCCGGGACCATTTACTGATAGAGTGAGCTCGGAGGATGCGCTGACACAAGGCTGCACTTGGGTGTTGTGACCTGTGCACTTGGGGCGGGGGTGTCTGGGGCTGCATGCCCAGGTGACGGGAGTGTGAAAGACTCACCGTGCAGGCAGGGTCGCTCCCAGAGAGGGGGCAGAGTGGGCTGCTCTTCTCCCAGATAATCTGCTTGGATAAGCAGACCTCCAGGAGCAGAGGGACCCCGGTGGGCAGAGGCCGGGGGTGCCCTGGGGGAGCTTCCTTCCCAGGGTGACACATCCTGAGTGGGAAGAGCAGTGTCCCCACCAGCAAGGTCTGTACCCCTCTCCGCACCAGCTAACCGGGGCTCAGAGAGACACAGGCCTGTGCTGTCTTTGTGATCATTGACTCTGCATGAGTGACCACTGGCCCCATGCCTCACTGTCCCCACCACCTGTGTGCTCGTGTGCAGCGACCACTCTCCTTAGCCCTCACTGTCCCCACGTCACCCTCCTGCTCAGCCCCCACGTCCTCCCCTGGGGACATTGCTTGCCTGTTAAGTTTTCTCGCACAGCCCCTTGGAATGACAAGGATTTTCGTAGCCCCTCTGTTCCTGGCTGTTGGACTCATGCTCTGTCCCAGGGCTCAGGTCACCTGCGTGGCAGCTTGGGCACTGACATGGGAGGTGGGTTCTCCTCTCGGGGCCCCTGTGATTATGCGCCTGTTGGTGAGTCAGTCCTCATTCCCTTCTCTGGAGTCTGCCTCTTCTCTCAAGCGGGAAGGCCGGCCTGGCTGTTGTAAGGCCCATCTCGGGTGTGTGGAGTGAGCGCGATGTGCCGGGCTGGCCGTGGAAGGGGTGCTGGGGGGACCCCAGGCCCAGCCGCGAGACCTCTACAGTGAGGAGACTGAGGCCCTCGCCGGCCAGGATTTACCCCGCAGTGGGTCCCAAGCAAGGCCTCTTGGCCCAATCTGTGTTCTTTCCGTTCTGTCATTTCCGCCTCGTTCCCCCCACCCCTGCCAGACCCCCTGCTTCGTTCCTCACGGGTCGGGGTCTGGTTGGCCGGAAGGGGGCCTTTCTGCTGTGCCCTGGTCCTTAAGGCCGGCCCTCAGCGACCCTTGATCGACTCCTCGTCCCTCAGAGCCGGTCTTCGGGCCTTGGGGCCAGGCTGCTGCAGTGCTGCCACCTGCTGGCGAGACTGCAGACTGCCCGTGGTGGCTGCCGCAGGACCTGGGTTTTCCCAGCCTTTGTCAGGCATTTCAGTCTACAAGGTTCTCAGCAACCTGGGGGCGGAGGCTGCATTCTCTGCTCGAGGTGTGGCTCTGGCAGGGGCAGTAGCAGTCCCCTGCCACCCCTCGGCCCCTCTGGGAGGCGTAGGTTCTGTCGTCACTCCACTGGAGGAGGACGAGGCTCAGGAAGGCGAGGCAGCCTGCCCGGGTCGCCCAGCCAGTGCAGGACTGGAGCGGCTGCCTCCACTGCAGGCCGTGTCCTCTGCCGTTCCGCTGTGTTCTGTCTCTCCCCTCTGGCCTTGTCCCTGCGCTCTGAGCCACCTTGATGGCCTCATGCTCCTTACACGTCCCAGTCCGTTTGCAGCCGCTGCGTACCCTGCAGGGTTTGTCCCCACGTGGGACGGGGCCCCCTGTGTCCACCATGCCTCCCTCCCCATATTGATCAGTCCATGTCCTCGCCGCCAGTCTCCTTGGTGATTCCTGCCAAGCTGGGAACTCCTTGAGCCCTAGGCCATGAAGTGGGACCCACAGGCTGAGTGTTTGTGAGACAGATGGGCGCCCAGGTGAGCAAGGGTGCAGGCGGTGCGGCCACCGCTCCTGGCCGGCACCTAGTACCCAGCCGGGCAGGGCAGGCATTCCTTGGCTGAGGCCTTCCTCTGTTTAATGCGGAAGCCTCCTTGGGAGACTCATCTCAGCGGAGGGGGTGGGGGTGGGGTGAAAATCTGTAGTTTTTATAAAGAACGTTCCGAAGCAGCCTGGCTACACTGACTGGCACATCCTCCACCCGCGCACGTGACCCTTATCCCAATCAAAGCCCCAGGAGTGTAGGAGGTGCAGGGGCCGTGGCGTGGGCTGTGAGGCTCGTGTGTCGGGACAGAGCACACTGCCTCCCTCCATCTCTGCTCCATCCTGCTTCCGCCCGGGGCCCTCCTGCCTGGCAGGGCCTCGTGCTCGGGTCTTAGCGCCTCCTCCTTGTCATCCTACCCCTGCCAGCAGCACCGACCGCCCCACGTCCCAGTTCCGCGGGCTAGCGCTCTTTTCGGCGACCGCGTGTTGGGCAGAAACTCATGGGAGCCAGGGAGTATCCATCCCCCAGGTGAGCAGAGGCCTCTGCCCAATGGTCAGGTCTTCAAGGTGTCCAGGAGGTGCGTAGGGAAGGGGGCTGAGAACTATTGGCAGGAGAGACTTGCACATGCAGCCAGGGGACGTGGGCCTTCAGAGGGGGCTCATCTGTGAGACCGCCCCCGGAGCCGAGAGCTTGGTCCTCCCTTCCTGAACCACGGCTCCTGGGCAGTGAGAGGGGAGCCCTTCCAGAAGGCAGGGAGCCAGGCCACCCTGACTTGTGCATGCCTGTTCCCCCGAGGCTGTGACTCACCTGTCCCCTTGTCTCCGCAGTAGGCTACGGCTCCTGGTTCGAGCACGTGCAGGAGTTTTGGGAGCACCGCATGGACTCGAATGTGCTTTTCCTCAAGTATGAAGACATGCACAGGGTGAGTGCTGCAGGGGGGCAGCTGTGCGGGTCAGCAACCCCAGCCCCGCAGCTCCTGATGCAGGAGTGTGGGCGTGACTGGAGTGTGGGGCAGGTCTCTCCGAGACCCCCAGCTTCCGGGTGGAAGGACTCAGAAGTTCCAGGCGTGCCCAGAATCCTCCCGGGCCAGTGCTTTGGGAGGCCCTCCTGCCTGGCAGGGCCTGATCCTGTCCCAGCCTGGCCCAGCCTCCAGGCCCCGGCCCCGAGGGTGGTGGTTTCTGGGTTGGGCCATGTGCAGTGCTTTAGAAAGCCCTGTTGGTTATTTTTCTGCCTAGCCATGGGAGCAGAGCAACGGCCAGACTCTCCCTGCCGCCCCCTAGCACCCTCTCCGCAGGGGACCAGCTCGGGGCAAAGGGCTAAGATGGCAGAGCCCAAATTCCTCGTCTCGCGGCCTGGTCACCTCACAGCAGCACTCAGAGTGCTGACGAGCCAGTTCGTGTGAGGAGTGTTGCTGAGTGCCTGGCTTGGGGCGTTGGCGGGGGGGTGGCTTGAGGTGGTCGCTCCCGGAACGTTCCAGGCCTGGCCGTGCTGTTGGAGCAGTTGAAGACAGGACCTCGCCTGTGCCCTTGAGAGCTCACCATCTAGAAGGGGGGCCCATGCGCCGCACGCCACACTGTCACTGCCGTTAGCACCGTTAAGGGTCTTACCGTGCGCGGAGTCCTTTTTTTTTTTTTTAAAGATTTTATTTATTTATTTGAGAGAGAGAGAATGAGAGATAGCACAAGAGGGAAGAGGGTCAGAGGGAGAAGCAGACTCCCCGCTGAGCAGGGAGCCCGATGCGGGACTCGATCCCGGGACTCCAGGATCATGACCTGAGCCGAAGGCAGTCGCTTAACCAACTGAGCCACCCAGGCGCCCCCGTGCGCGGAGTCCTATGCGAAGTTCTTTGTGCATGTGTTGGCTCACTTAATTCTGGAACGCCTTCATCCTCCCTGCTGGGGCTCTATCCGATGGCTCACTTTTCTTACAGCAGACAAAAGGCAAGCCTTCCCTAAGTCCCTTCCGTCTCTGGCTCCTCAGCCCCACTTTGCTGCAGGCCCCCTCACGGTTGCCCCCACTCCTGAGCCCGCGCGGGCCGAGCTCGCCGCCGAACTTCCAAGCGCTCCGTCAGGACCACGCATGGCCTCCGTGTTGCTGCGCCCGGTGGTCGGTGTTCACGTCATCCCACCTGGCCTCCTGGCAGCAGGCGGCCGGTGATTGCCTCCCTGCCCCACTCGGGGTCCCAGCTGGCCCCGCGTCCTTGGCTGCTCCCTTCCTGGTGCTCAGCCTGCCTTGGCTCTCCCCGCGTGCCAGCCTCGCTCCCTTCCCTGGTGACCCCAGGCCAGACGTGGGCCCTCCCCAGACTCGCTCTCCGCTGGCCGCCCCCTGCACCTCTCTCCCTGAGCGTCTGGTGGAGGCCGCGGGCCCGGTGTGTGTACACCAAACTAGAGGTTTCCCCTCACACCATCCGCAGCCTCGTCTGTGTCTCGGGCGGACGTCGTGAATCATCCTCGACTTCTGACCCCCTCTCACACCCTGTGTCCGTCCTCCCAGTCCTACGGCCTCTGTCTTCAAAATGGGCTCCTTATCTGACCACTTGTCCCCCGTTCTCTGGGGTGCAGGTCACCCTCGCCTCTGGCCCGGATCGCCGCTCGCGTGGCCTCCTGGGGGGCCTCCCTGCCTCCCCTCAGGCCTGTGCGCGGTGCAGCAGCTGTCCCGATGGCGTGCGCGCCGGTCAGACTGTGCCCCTCCAGCCGCACGTCGCTCCGGGTGCAGGTCAGGGCCCACACGGCGGCCCGGCGCCCGGGCGTCTCGCTCCACGCTGGCCTGCTTACTGTCCCTTCAGCCTGCGGTGCTGCGGCCCTGCCTGGAATGCTCTTCCCCTCCGGTGTCCACATGGGTCCCTCCCTCACTTCTTCCAGGCCTTGGTTCCTGTCAGTGACGCTGCCCGTTTGAAATCGGCCCGTCCAATACCCACACATCTCTCTCCGCTTCATTTTTCTCCACAGCATCTACCGTTCCACCCCGTATCTTATCGTTTGTGTTTGTATTTTGCTCACTGTCTCCGCTGCCAGAATAAGCTCTCCTGGGGCTGGGAGTTGGGGTGCCTGTTTTTGCTTCTAAGTCAGTCCCCGACGCATAACAGGTTGTCGGGAAATATCTGTGGGTCGAACGGATGGCCTTCACGGTGGAGGCCCTTTCTCCTTGTTAAGAAGCCAGAGGCCCGCAGAGCTGAGGGGCTTGTCTGGGGTGGGCTGCCCCGGCTCCCTGCCCAGGCCCAGGCCCTAACTGCTCCCTGCAGTGTGGTGGCGGCGAGTGGCTGGGGCAGGACGACACCAGGCAGACCAGCCTGGCACTCTGACCAAGGCCGTGGCCCAGGCGGAGGTGTTCATCTGCCTGTCGTGTCCGGAAGAGTCCAGGTGGTTCCTGGGGGTGGGGGTGGAGACAGGCATTGGGGAGGGGACTCGGGTGACGCTGAGCAAGCTTGGCAGGGCTTGGTCACACGGAGATCTGATAGGAGACATGGAAGGAAGGGTGGGTTCTGCACGAAGACGGAGAGCTCACTTTTGGCCTCATTGAGTTATGAGGGAACTGTAGGACAGCCAGCAGGAATGCCATGAGCAGGAGGCCACCTGACAAGCTCAAAGAGGGGGCACACGTGCAAGGGGCCCCCGTGAGTCCTGCCTCTGGTGTCTGTGCCCTCGTGCAGCCTCCCACACTGACCTGGGCTGGGTCATGTGAACTTGGAGACCCGGAGAGGTACACTGCAAGCAGGAGTCGGGGCAGGGCTCGGGCTGGGGCTGGCCCTTGCACAATGCACATGGGATGCCCAGGTGTCCCCCTGGGGGCGCCATGGGGAGAATGGGTGGCCCAGCCACCAGCCCTGCCCGGCTGCCGGACATGTGAGCAAGATCATCATGGGGCTCCCAGGCCCCGGCGGCCTTCAGATGGCTGCAGCGCCAGAGGGGCACCTCTGGGGAGCCAACTCCCTCCTCTCCGTGCGGCTGACCTGGGTGTTGGAAGCGGACCGCTCATGTTGGGACCTGTCTGGGCCTGTGAGCCGGGAGATGAGACCGCTCCTCCATCACAGAGGCTCGGGAGGCATCATCTTCGAACAGGGCCCGATGTGGGCAGGCCTGGCGGTTAGTGGGCACTCAGCAGGTGTCTGTCATTGTTCTTCTCACTTGTCAGGGAGCTGAAGCAGGCACTTGAGGTCAAATACACAAATCACACGTCCACAACTTGATAGACTTTTTACAAGTACTCATCTGCGTGATCATCATCCAGATCGAGATCAGAACATTCTGGCTTTTTCCGGTTAAGGCCTCCGCTTCCCAGAGGCAACCACTCTTCTGAACTCTGTTGGTTCAGATTAGTTCTGCTTGTTTTTGAACCTCCCAGGAGCGGACGCCTGGGGTGCGCGCACTGGCGTCTAGCTGCTTGTGATCCGTGTAGCGTCCTGTGGTTCATCTGTGCTTTGTGCAGCGGGTTGGTCCTCACGTCCGTGTGGTATTTCACTGCAGCAGGAATACGCCACCACATATCTGCTGGTCCGGTGTTGCTGGCTGTTCCGGTTGCTTCTGTTCGGGGTGGTTATGTGAATGTTCCTGCATCTTGGTGGATATGAACTTCTTTTTCCCCGGGCGCCCCCCTGGGCGGGTGTGCTGGGAGCTGATGATTTTATGCCCGCCTGGTCCACGCTAGTGCCTGCCCACGGCCCCGGCCTGGTGCGAAAGGACAAGCCCCAGCGCAGGCAGCTGCACGCACACCTGCCGGGGCCGCGTGCCGGGGCGGCACGTTCTTCCCGGAGCCGCTTGAGACTCAGCACTGAAGAACTTAAACCATTACTTCAGTTACTAAACCACGAGGGAGCGGGACGCACGCTTTATATACACTTCGTAGCTAAAACACAGACTGATGCCTGGCTGCTCTGGATTCCTTCCAGGCCCTTCAAGGTGAGTGTTCATTCTCTGCCTCACTGGGCCCCTCAGCGAAGAGTTTATAGATGGGCTGCTTTCGATTGAAGTCCAGACGACCAGCCCCACCTGCGCCTGTCTCTGCCCGGACTCATGCTCCCAGGGCCAGAGGGACCAAATGGCCTTTACTGCGATCAAGGTCCTAATTTCTAATTGTTTACTCTTTTTTCAGAAACCTCAGTAAGGGTCCGGACGCCTTTAATAGGGATTGAGTGACTACATCACATTTTTAGGAATTCAAGTTGTTTACATTTTCCTCCAAAAAAATAGTCCCAAGTGAACGTCATCGGTCTCCCGGAGTGTGGTCAGGCCTGGCATGTCCTCATCTTGGGGCTGGATGATAACACTTAGCACCTGCTCGCTTGCCGCCTCGTGCATTCCTCCAGGGGTTCCTACATCTCCCCCTTTGCTGTGGGCTGCGCACGTGAGCGGGGCGCCGGCCTCCCCGGTGTGTCACCCAACAGTCCTGCAGTCACCTGTGAGGTGTTCTCGCCGGCCACAGGTGAGGAGTCTTGACTGTGACCAGCTGGCAGTGCTGGGACTGGACCAGGGACACTCGGGGGGTCCCAAAAGCTGTCCAGAGCTAGTCTGCAGCTGGGACGTTGCCTGCCCACACAGCTCGGTTTCAGACCCAGGAAGCAGGCTGGTGGCAGGCAGCTGGGTGCGAGCTGGTGAATGTGCCTTCCTCCCCGGGCTGGATGTCACACCAGTGGTGTGGTGTCCCCATTAGGGCTCTGGTGGCCGCTCCAGCAGTCTGGGTCCCTCTCCTGTGGTGTCCGCTCCGAGGGCCACTGTTATTAATCTTTATCGCTGCCTTTTTTCTTTTAATTAGAGATACTGGGTGGCAAAGCAGGGAGAGGAGCTCTCTCTATTCCTTTTTATTCTAACACTTCCTGCGCTCCCAGTCCTGGCCAAGCCCCGCACACGGGGCTTGGAGCTGAGCACCTGCGCCCCTCTCCAGTGGAAGCCCCTAAGCGGGGGACAGCTGTGAAAGTGGGGCGCAGAGCCCAGTGGTGATTACCATGGGAATCCAGGGAGGAGCTGACGCTCAATCCAGCTTTCACAGAACCTTTTCTTTTTTTAAGGTTTGCGAAATACTGTGTAAAGAAATGAAATGGATTTCTTTATTGTAGGACTTCTCAGAGACTTTAATACGCCAATTGCTTTATAAACCATCAAGGAGGCAACAGCCTCCAGTGTTTTCCTGACGCAGGACCTGGACGTGGCCAGAGTTTGGAGACTGCCTGGTGACGGGTCAGGGTTCTGGGCACAACAGTTGGCAGTGCACACATTGAGAATATGAGGCGCCTTGGGTAATTTCCCAGGAGAAGGGCGGGGGGGGAGGGGCTGTGTGGTGGGCAGGTGTGTGCCCCTCCTGAGACGCAGGCTGGGTCACTGATGCTCCCACTACCCAGAGGGTGGAGTGTCGGGCCCAGAGATGGCTTTTTGTCCATCGAGTCGAGCGTAACCGAACCCTCACACCTAACGAGGTCCTCCTGCCGGGTGAGGTGGGCTGGCCCTGGGGCCTGTCTGGGCCTCCAGGGGCCTCCTTGTTCTCCCAAGGGCCAGCTGGTTCCGGCTGATTGCACGGAAGGAAGGGGGAGAAGAGAGTGAGCTGGTCTGGCTCTTGGCTCGGTTCGGAAGTGAGTTTTGCTGTCTTGCTGCTGTTTTAAAATGGCCACGGTGATACCAAGCCCTCAGGCCTGCTCCAGATCCCCCGGAGGACTGGGGCTTGAATTCCAGCTCTGCCACTCGAGAACAGAGTGCCCTTGGGCAACTGCTGGACCTGGATTTATGTCCAGACGAGGCCAATATCAGGCCTGTCTCGAGGACTGAGTAGGGAAGTGTGTGCAGAGCACCTGGCGAGTGCCCCGCCAAGGGTCTTGGGTCGGCCAAGGCGCCGCCTCTGATGGGCTCCCTGCTGTCTGCTCTTGTGTTCCAGGACCTGGTGGCCATGGTGGAGCAGCTGGCCAGATTCCTGGGGGTGTCCTGTGACAAGGCGCAGCTGGAGGCCCTGAGCGAGCACTGCCACCAGCTGGTGGACCAGTGCTGCAACGCCGAGGCCCTGCCTGTGGGCCGGGGTACGCGCCCCCTCCCCCCCCCCGCCAGGGTCCGTGGTCCCTGCCCTGGGCCTCGTGTCTCCAGAGTCCTCTGCTCCATGAAAGCAGGAAGGTCCTCTGAAAGCCAGGTGCTGCCGGTGGAGCCGAGCGGGGGGGCAAGGGGGCTGCTAGCATCTCATTGCAACTGCGTGAGTGGCCTTGGAGGTCACCAGGTGACTGTCAGGATGCTGTGGGCTCTGTGGGCAAGACGTTTCAAGCAGGTGCCTTCCCAGACGGCCCCACAGCGCAGACCCCGGGATGGGCTCAGGGCCGTGGGATGGTGGAGCCTGAGGCACGCAGCCTTCAGCTGGTGGCAGAGAGTCCCCCCCCCGCCGCCCCCCACACGGAGCGGGTGCCAGGCCGGCGCAGGGAGGCTGGCGCGTGCTCCCCGGGCCACAGCTGTGTCCTGGGCACGAAGCAGTGTGAGGTGGAGGACATAGTGCCGGCAGGAGCCCTTTGCAGATTTGCCCGGGTTGCTGTCTGTCCTTCAAGGCTCACGATATTTGAAATTGCTTGATTGTGGAGAACTCGGGCGTTAGAATGCCCTGACCCCTTGGTGGCGTCCGTGGCCACATGAGCCACCGTCTTGGCAAGTACGAATTGCCTGTGACACTTGGTGTTGTGCACCTGCCGTTGGTTCCCAGCTGTGTGAACTCAGAGCTTCCTCAGGTGACAGAACGTTTGAGGGGCCGGCCCGGAGGTGCCACTGGGGCCCGAAGCGCCTCTCAGATGTGCAGCTCCACCTGGGCTGGCGCGACAGAGCCGGGCCCTGGGGCAGGGTCCTGGGAGGGCCTCAGGGCGGGCCTTTGAGCTTCTCCAGCTCTGTGCTCTTCTCTCTGGCTAACGGGGCGGTCCTGCAGGTCAGGTGGGGAGCACCCTCCTGTGAAGGCAGAGCAATCGGCTGAAACCACAGTACCTTGCAAGTGATTTCCTGGCTGTGTCTTCACAAATATTTATTTAAAATTTATTTGCTCTTTTTTAGTTTTGCTTTTGCTGTGTTTTGTTATCCTTGGATGTGACCTTCTCCAAAATACCCCTTTTGGTTCATTTGCGTGGTAAAGAAGTGTCGAGAACATACTGCGTGCCCATATGCTCCTTCTGATGTGTTTGCTTTATCATTGTTTACCTTGGTTTTGCTTTATTTCAGTTCTTTGATTTTGTTTTCTTTTAGCACATTGCCTCTTTGCTCAGAAGACCTCCTTGCGTTGGTGAGAACGCAGGGCTTGAGTAGCCAGCTGCATTGCTTAAATTTGATTCATATCACAGCATAAATTGCACTGTCTTGATTCCAAACCCTAAACCAGGTGGGTGACTCCTTTGATGAGCTCTCAGCTGCCTCAGCTGAGAAAAATAATCATGGAAAAATATATTTATAGTGTGGTTGGTCTAGAAGCTTCTAATTTTGTCCCTGCGGTATCATTAGAGGGTAGCAAGAACAATTTCTCTTGGTTTTTTCTTTCCTCTCTCCAACACTGACGTATAACTTTTCATTACCAGAGAGAAAATCCTTGTCACGTTAGATGTAGCAGCTCAGCATTTGTGGGGTCCCGCCAGGACAAGGACTTCTGTTAATAGTGGAGCTAATGAAGGATATTGGCTAGACAGTCAGAGCGCTGACCTCAGAGATGCTGACTCGGGAAGAAATTTGAAATGAGCATTTCATTCCCCTGGGGCTCTTCCTTAAAAGCATGGTGATAGTCCTCGCAGCTCCTGGAGCTGGGGGCTCAGAACCCCCACTCCTGCCGTCTTCCCCAGCGCTGCTCGCGTCTGGCCAGACCATCCGAAGGTTCTGTAGTCAATAAATAAAGTGGGTTTGGTGGCCTTGGGCATTTTGAGCTCTCTCTTTTCCCCCTAAGCCTTCATAAATGAGCGGCCAGCCCGTGCCTGCTCATTAGTCCGCAGGCTCCATGCTCTTGCACATCTGCCCGGAAAGGTCTCATGTTTTGGCTGAGCCTCCCTGAGCTGGAGCTGCGCAGAGCAGCTGGGCATCGCCCCGACTTACTTCCGAGGGGGTTGAGTCAGCCAAGCGCACGTCTGGCATCTAGTTGCAAAAGCTCGTTTGCATCGCGACTCTTCCCTTCCCTTTAAATTCCTCCCCAAGGTTTCGTGGCCAGGCTTCTTGAAATCTTCACCCTTGACTCAGTCAGGAGGCTTCCTACTCACCATAAAAGGTTCTGCCTTTTTGGATGGTTTTTTTTTTCCCTTTTCAAATTCTCCAGAAGCAGATGCCGCCTTGGTGGAGCTGTTGAGTCGTGAGTGAGTAGTGATATCACGGAGTACCCAAGCACACATGATGCCCCAAGCGGTAGATCCATTGCACAGACACCATCCGTTCTCCGGGGTGTGTGCCTAGCTGCCGGGGATGCACCAGCGAACAGGGGCCGAGGCCCTCCTCTCAAGCCTCAGCTCTGCATACTCGTGCATGCTGGGCTCACGCAGCAGGGAAGGGACACCCAAACGACCAGACTCAGGGAAACGGGTTCAGCTCGTCTGTAGTCCAGAGAGCCTGTCCTGCCCCCGTAGGCCAAGTTTGGAGGGGTGCAGGAATAGATTTGGAACCTTCCAGAACCTTTTCCAAGGCTTCCTTTGGTTCGGTATCTGGCCTGACAGCAAGTGAATTCAACACATTCTGCTCTTGTTTGTGTTTCAGGAAGAGTTGGGCTGTGGAAGGACATCTTCACCGTCTCCATGAACGAGAAGTTTGATTTGGTGTATAAACAGAAGATGGGAAAGTGTGACCTCACGTTTGACTTTTATTTATAATAACAGCAACAGCAAACTTGCATGCTCACAGTACCCAGACACTCTACTAGCTAAAAGTCCTGTATGCACTCATTTGTTCCTTGCTGGACGAACTCCGGGAGCAGTGTGAGGCCCGGGGGAGGGAGGGAAGCAGCGGAGATGCTGGAGGAAGAGGGGGGCCTTGCTTCCGACCCAGAGCAGCTGTCTTGCCTTTGGGATTTGAAGTCTCTACATGTCTGATTACAAACGTTATAAAGATCGCAGTTTCGATGGCCTGTATCATAAGTATAAAGTCTGTAACATATGCAGCTAGAATGTCTACCTTTTACAACCCCACATTATTTATTGTATTTTATAGAGCTTTTCACTGGAAATCTAAATAAATGTCAGTAAACCAAATACAAGTTCATTTCCAAGGGGACTCAGGAGCGAGCCACACCCGAATGGTAGAAAGATCTCAGGGCTGACTCTTTATTTTTGTAGTTTTGTTCGGTTAAGGCACAGACGTTCTGTTCTCACCTGGCTCGGGATGAAGGTGAAGACACAGGATGAGTTGGGTGTGTGTGTGGTGGGGGGTACTTATTCCTTTTGATGAGTTCCGTTCTTTGTAACCTTCCTAAACAAAGCAGAGACTGTCCACTAGGCATTTGCAGAAAGGATGCCCCTCTGCTGGAGACTCCCAGCGGGCGGCCTCAAAGGCCCAGTCCAGAGGAACCAGTGGAACATTCCTTGAGGGAACCTGCCCAGGGAGGCCGGCAGATGGGGTCTAATGCGGTGACTTCAGAGCCTGCCCCAGAGCCTGTGTGTGGGTGGAATCTGAGTTCTCATTCCACTAACTCTCGTTCCCTGAGGCGGAAACCTATTTATGCGGGCCAGCAGGTGCTTGACCGTGAATTCCTAGAACTTTATCATCATGCAGTTTGTGTCGTCTGTACCTGAGGCCCTCGGCCACGGGAGAACCATTTCGCAGGTTTAACGCCCTCTTTCACTCACTCAGACTGGTCGGCCATCTTGCTTTCGTGCCCCAGCTTACCTGAGGGAGCCGAGGTGGTGTCTTAATCGCCCCACCCCTTGCTCCACCGTCTGCCCACATTTGGCTGGAGAAGCATCGAGACACGGCCAGGTAGCAGCCGGGCCGGCGGCCAGTTTGTGTGTGTGTTGCCGCTGTGGTGGGCCTGGGGTCGTCTGGATACGTACGTGGCCAGGAAACACCCGAGGCAAGGCGGTGGCTGGAGGGTCGCTGCTGTGTAAGGGTCTCTGTGCCGTGTGGCTGTCTTGGAAAAGGTGCAGACATGCGCCGGGGTCTTGTTTGTAAAGGAGCAGCTTGAACAGGGCAGGTGGTATGAGGCATCGCATGGTGGGTTTGGCAGCACCTTTCCTGTTTATCTGTGAGGGAGGCGGCTTTCTGTGAAATTTCTTTTCTATTTTTCTATTTTTAGTACTGTATGGATATTCCCGAGCACCACACATGATACGTCTGTGCTTGCTTGCATCTTTAATAAAGACACGTCCCGTGCCTTGTGTTGCGCGTGTGCTGATGGGTGGAGAGGGGCAGCATTTCAGGGGCAACGCGACCATGGGCCCCGTTGACACCCGGTCCCTGGGGCTGACCGCAGGGGGCGGGGGCACAGACCCACGTTGGTTTGGCTGTTTCACTCCGATCTAAACATTCCAAGCGGTGAATCCACCTCCTTTATTTGTCCATTCACTGTTGCTATTTCTTAGAAGCTGAAGGGAGGGTTGGGGGAAAAGGAGATCGGGGCGCATGGGGCCTGCCAAGAGCCCTGGGTCCTGTGTTTAACGCGGCTCAAGGCCGTGTATGTGGAGACCTGCCCGGCTGATTGCACTTGGCCACTTTGAATTCCAAAGCTCGCCTTCCTGATTCCTAGCGGTAGGAAAATCCGGGACATCGTTTTACCTGACAAAGCTTGGGCTTTCCGGAAAGCATGTTTATTTTCAAACAGGCTAATTCCTTTAGGTCTCGGGTGGAACCCCAGAACTCATGTTGGTCTCCAATTTTCCTGGACCCCAAGTTTGTCCATGGAGTGCCCAGTCTGCTGCCCCAGAGGGGTTGCTCCCAGGCCATTTAAAAAACACCTGAAATCAGGCAGAAACTGAAGGCCAAGGTCATGAATCCAGAGGCGGGCAGAGCCATGGTTCTAGCGCTCATTCCTCCAGTGTCCCCAGCCCTGCGCCCTAGCTGTGTCACTTCCTTTCACGGGTGCATTTATTCAGGAAACACTTGAGCGCCTACGATGCCCCGGTGCCGCTGGAGGCTCTGGGGTCCACCGGGGAGCACAGAAGGGCCTGGCCCCCGTGGTGTTCATCTCTTGGTGGGAGACAAAGTCCCCATCACAAAACCTGTGTGAGTTCAAGCTCAGGAGGACTCGAAGGGACCCGGTGACGGCTGAGACCGGGAGGCTGTGGGGGGCCTGGGCTTGGAGCCCTGGGGAGGCGGGTGGGCAGGAGTGGGCAGGGAGGGCAATGCACAGGAACTCCGTCTTGGAGGGGGAGCCAGGAGCCAGCTCCCTGAGGGCCTTCCAGGTCACGGGAGTTTGGGTTTTGTAGTGAGAACTAGGAGGCCACAGAAGGGTTTGAACAAAGGAACGCTGCCCGGTTTGCATTTTTGCAAGCCCCCCGGCTGTGAATGGATGGCAGGGCCTTTATCCTGGCTGTGTGACTCACTCAGTCCCCAAAATGATGGTGGGCGGGGGGCGGGGCTGCATTAGATCAGCTCCAGGGGTCCTTCTGACAGTGTGTGCCGGGCCCTGAGCGTTGCCTACAGTTCCCGCCTTGCTCACCTGGAGCTCAGATGAGGGGGAGATAATGTGGGGCATGGGTGCTGTGAAGCTCCAGCAGAGCCAGTTTGGAGGACGGAACAATGGGTGGAGTAGTTGTGTGCGGGTGCAGGTGGCACTTGACTCGAGCCAGGAGGGTGAGGAGGTGCTGGTCAGATGGAGGAGGTGAGAGAGGTCTGGCCAGACGGCCAGTTTTACAGAACAACGCCCAGCGGAGTCCCGAATGGCAGGGTCCTGAGCGTCTTGCTGGGTACCTGGCCTTTTGACTTCACAGACCGACAAGACTGTAGGAAGCAGTGTCATAATTTACCCAGTGGAGACCATCTCTGTCCACATCCCCTTCTCAGGAGGGTCTTAACAGCAAGAAGGAAACAGAAATCCAATTCACACAATGGAGCATCCGTGGCCGGCTCCAGTGGGCAAATGCTCCCACCCCTGGGGGCCAAGTCCCCTCCGCCAGCCGACGTCCGGCGGCCACAGCAGGGAGCGCCCTCCCTCCTCCGTGTGGCCTCAGTGCTGCGGATACAAGCCAGACGTGCAGCCCCTGTCCCAAGTGTGGGACAGTGTTCCCACCTTTCTGAGCCGGTGACTGCAGTTTGAAATGGGTGGAGGCAGTCCTCGGATCCTCGGGTGTGCCCGGCGGGTTTCGTTCCCCTGTAGAGTTTGCCTGCTCCTCCCCACCCGTGCGACATCATTGCCCACTCTTCATAGTAGAATGAGCATTTTCAGACTGGGGCGGCATGTTGGTCGGATGGTCCAGCCTCACCCACCGAGGATTGTCCTCTGACATCCCTGACAAGCTCGCCACCTCCTGGGACAGCCGTTCTGCGGCTGGTGGTGCTCTCCAGCCGCGTCCTCCAGCCCCTGCCCCAGCCGGCGGCTGCCCTCATCCCTGGCCTCCCTCCCTGGGACACCCAGCCCTGCCTTGGCCTGGCGAACCCCCCTCTGCTCTGCTGGTGCCCCCTGCTCTCCTCTCTCATCGCCCCCCACCTCACTGCTCTGCAGCTGGCTCCCCCTGTGGACTGTGACACCCCAAAAGCAGGGCCACGCTGTGTCTCTCCTTCGGTTGGAGTTTGGCAAATAATCAGCACTTAATAATTGCTAAGGGAGTGGCACCCTTCATTGTTAGAGTGGATTTCGCTTTTTTTTCTGAAAACCGTCTGCCCCGTCCCTTCTGTGCACGGCCCCTGGCTCTACCCTTGGAGGCTGTGTCTTCCCAAAAAGAACCAGGCTGCTCTCCTGTCTCCTCACCCTGACCCACCACACTGGGCTTCTGCCTCTACTACTACGTGCTTCTTGCTTTGCTTTGCTTTGCTTTCTCTACACCCCTCCCCTGGGACATCCTTCCTGACAAGTCCCTGGCTTCTCAAATGTAGGTGTAACTGTGGGATGGACAGTTTCTGGTGCCCGTCGTTCCCCATATTTCTCCCTCTATCTCAAAGCCCAGAAACACAGGACCCATAAGAACAGCCTAGACCCTTCGCTTGGCATGCATCCCCCTCTTCCTTCATCTCCTTCCTTGGTGTTTATTGAGCGTCTGCTCTATAATGTCCCCCGTGTGGGTCCTGGAGACACAGACAATTACAGTAACTCTCCCCCTCAAATTTAGCACCCCGCTGTTCTGTTCCCTGGGGACTCTGCTCTCATTTATTACCCAAATACCTACGGAGAGAGCCTAGGGTGGGGATCGGAGGACCTGGGCTCTGGAGTCCTGGTTTTGTCTCGGTTGGCTGTTTGACCCAGGCAAGTCAGCTGCCTTCTCTCAGCCTGAGTTGCCATCTCTCCCAAATGGATGTTTTGTAGTAAGCTGTCTCTAAGGTTTCTTCTGCTTGTTCAAGTCTCCAGTTTGCGGCTCCGGGGGCTTTCCTGCTATCCGCAGCCGAGCACCACATGCATGTCTCCTCTGCAAACGGAAAACAAAGGAGTGGTGCGGAGGGCTGGCACCTTGCTCTCCAAAGTAAGCAGAGCTGACACCAAGGAGAGCAGGGAGACTGCGTAATGTAAGAAGCAGACCACAGGCTGGGTCTGGAAACAGGTGGGAGTAGACAGGGCAGGGGCCAGTGGGAGGCATGCCGGGTGGGAAGAAATAAGATGCACCAAAATGAGTCAGGCACCTGGTTCCGATTCCTACTCCGCCAGTATCGGTGGGACCATGAGGAAAGCCCCTTTTCATCTCATTAATGGAGAGGTCTCAGCCCAGGGGTCTTGACATCCCACCCAGCATGAACATTCTGTGACTCGTAAGTGGTCCAACTGTCTATTGACTCCACCCAGATGGAGCTGATGAGTGGGGGGAGACCATGAACTTGTAGCCAGTGATGGACTCTGCCAGCAAGGGCAAAGAGAATCAGTCACAGACGCACCTGCCACACAGCTTGGGCCTACGACCGCCATCTCCGAGGCGTGCTGAGCCTTTGCCAAATCTACACATCAGATGACAACTTGATTCTCACACTTGGATCCCTGTAAGCTAGTTGGCACCGGATGTCTGAGCCACAGTCCCTAAATCTGTCCCTCACCATTGACGGAAGGAATCTGTGCTCTATTAAAAGCATTCTTCAAACACCAGAGAATGCTAAATGTGTTTAAAATAAAAAAATCAACCAGAAAATGCATTTTATTCTCCT